AGGGGCACACAATGTTCAAGAAAGGAGAGGCAGAGCACTGTAACAACAGCAACAGCAACAACAACAATGGCAACAGCAACAGCCCCGTACTTAGGGCCAAAAACGTAACAACAGTCTGACCTTCACCATTAGCGCACTTTCTATACCCTGTATCCGATGAAAATGGGTATAGCTGTTGTGTGTCATGGCATGTAATGGCCAATGACAGTGAATACGTACTTCAACTTTAGTTCATGTATCTATTAGTACTGGGTATCTGGTATATGTTGTGGTCATTTATTCGAGAGAACTTCATTTCAAAATTGTATGAAAACGATGTTTAGCCCTGGCGATTCGAAACCTCACATCACACGCAGATAAGTTGTGTACTTATGCCCAAGTGTTTACAGCCCGAAGGGGGCTACAGGATATTTGATAGTCAGACGCCTTGAACGGAGTACTTTACTTGTTTTCATCCGGCTTTTGCTAACAGCATCAAGCAAGCACCAAGCACGTAGTAAAACAAAGATTTTGTAGCATGCGCCACTTTGTACGCATCTATTTGAGGGCGTGGTACCGTTTACATTGTGTGGGGACCATCTTACTTGCCTGGCTTAAATGCTTTTCGCTTAATGGAGCAGCAGCAGCAGCAGCAGTAGCTATGTCAGGGACGCCGTTGATAGAAACTGTTCCGTCTAATAAGCCCACTTAAACTATGATGGGCTGAAAGCATTTGGTTATATTTCAAATCGATTTCACCGAAAAATTACTCACATTATTACTTCGCCAAAATGAAATTAACATTCTTATCTATCGGGGAATATTTACATTAAATTGCAATTGAATTTTCTTTCAAATCTTTTGTATTCTAAAAATATAAAACTCATTGGTTTAGAGTTAGGGCTTACAGCTAAAGCCAAATCTCTTTTTCACTTATTTTAGTCAATTAAACATGTTATTTAAAGAGAGTAAGAAAAAAGTTCGTACTTTATAATAAACCGGTCCATATGAAATATGTGTGTACGCTTTGACTGTTTTTTTTGGGAATTGTTTTTGTAAGGGAACCCACATCAATTTGGTGTCTTTATGCCTTTCAAGCAAAAGAAGAAAACCAGTTGACAGTTAATACGCACAGTTGTTGTTTCATTGAGTTACCCTTATCCTGATGATGTGCGCTCTTATGTAACCGCTTTGCATATATGCATGTATTTGGGTTCATACCAAGCTGGTAGCCCATTTATGTGATAAGTATTTAACTAAATGTTTGCTGGTTTGGTTCATTGGTCCGCTTTGGCATTGCTGACATGATTGATGGTACATTTGATTGAAATGTGATAAATTGTTGTCTGCTGCGAGAGACAGCAGCAACAGCAACAACAAGAACTGCGAGAAATATCATGCGAAAAAGTGCATGTCAAGCGGCCTTTCCCTCCCATTTGTGAATATGTAGAAAACTGTGAGTTGCTGTCGCAAGGGCTTTTTACTTTGGTAAGAACGGGTATATTGGACATGTGTTCGTCTTTCTGTTCCAGTTTCTGTGAACGGACACCGTCCGCTGAAATGCCGCTCTAAGAACTCATTGCCACCACTGAAATTATAAAGAAACACTGAACAGAGTATGGCGCAGTCGGTGCAGTCGACTACTACACTCGGATTTGTTTTAGTATGTGATTGACGCAAGTGCCCGAAAGAAAACTTTATTATTTTTTGTTTTGCTGCTCCCTAAGAGGATTTATCCAGGAGCAACATCAGCGACTGACGCAGGAGCTGTGTTTATTTTTACATGTGGTCGAGAGCAGAACGTTTTCCTAAATGTGGCAGCAGCACTTGACGAACTCGTAAGTCGCAGTATATTTTCTTACGGGGTTTCCTTCAGCCAGCTTTCTTTCTATGCTAATGCACAAAACGACAAGCCAAGCATTTAATCAACTTTATGCGGCATAAATAAATGCTAACGCAAAAAAGAAGTGCCATGAAAACGGATTTAAAATGCCATTAAATTTATTAAAAAAAAAAAAGAGTCTTAGGGATTAGTCTCAATGCTGCACGAAAGCATTAAGGCAATAGGCGACTGACTACAGAATATAATGCCCAAAGTGGCTACTACACGCTGTGCCTGCCCATGCAGGCTTGTAAAGGGAATAAAACGTCTTGTCTTAGACTCTTAGACAACTATTCAAATCAAGACGATGAAATAGATAATATTAAGACTTAAGACTTCCTTGAGGAACATATGATTGTTTTCTTTTTTTGGTTAATATTAAAAACTTATATGAAATAATTTTAAAATAAAAAGCAATTAAGTCGATTTCCTCGAACATTGCCATACAAATAACCCAAACAAGTAAGAGCTTTGCAGCCGGGTGTCAATACTCTGGCAAAGAGAGTTTTTTCTTATTCTTTAGAGAAGGCAAAGATCACTTCATATTTGGGTACATATTTCTCAAGCTGGTATCAATCAGTATCTTCTGATCTCTGCATAGTCAGATACTGTGAAATAGTTAAAATTTTTCAACATATTAGGACTTACATTTAGGAATATTTAGGGGATAGAGTACATATAACTGTAAGCTATTTAAATGCCTCGTAGGCAGGAACGGCTCTCTCAATATAACATCGAACAGCTATATAATTGGGCTCTAATAGAAACATTTTATATTGGTACGAAAACAACGTTGTTTAGTAATAAAAAATTGCAACACATATCAGCTACATGTTTCGTGAGGGCATACTCCCAAAATCGGACTATTCATTCTTTACTTTTTTTATTGCATGCCGTAAAATAAATTTCAAATAGTCTACATTATATGTCAGAGCTAGACGGCAGCTTGACTGCATATACACACACATAGAGACACACACACATATATACAGATACACACATACCTGGAAAAAACACGTACACACACAGAGCTACTCTAAATAAATAACTGCTAATGAAGCTGCTCAAATACAGTTTAGTCTAAACTTTAGCTTATCCAAACAGCTCAGGGCTCCAACTTTAAAGTAATTGCTGTTTATGCCACAATATTGTTTTAGTTATATAGTTTACATATTACTCGTGTCTGTCTGTGTGTCCTCTGTTTTATGGTGCATGCACGCCCCACTGATTTATGGCGCGCACATTTTATAGCTTGTCAAAATAAAACTTTTTCGGCGCTACTCAAAAGCAAAAAAAAAAAATGCTTTTATTATGTGTGCCATGAAGTTTGTTTTTGTGATGCTGCACTTATTTTTTATACACTTGAAAAAGTGTTTTATAATTTAAGCAGAATTGCCGGCGATATCTCCACGCCTGTTTTTTGTTATTTCTCATCTATCAACTAAAGCATATTTTAGTTTCAGTGTTTAAGTTAAAGACTCTACTTTTAAACGTGCACAACTTTAGTAAGCCGTTTGCTTGTTGGCTTAATTAAAAGCCATCAACTGGCACTTGAATAACTTGTAGACGGCATAAATAATACAAAAAATGATTAAGTACACACACCGACACAGAACTGTCGCTGCAAAGCACACTTACACACATACAAATACCCACACTACTCAGACACACACACACACACACGCACAGCTGAAGTGGCACAGCTTCAGTTTGTTGATGGCGGAAGTCTAACCATGACTGACAATTTTTGCGTTGGCAACAACAATTGTAGCTATTTCTCTTATTTTATTTTTTACTTTATTTTCTTATTTTCTTATTTTTTATTTTATTTTTTTTTTTGAATAGTCATCGTCACATGTGCACAAATGTTTATTTGCATGAGAATTGTTCCTCAGCAGCTTCCCTGCCTTGCTGCCATTGACAATGGTAGCCACAGCTCTAGCTCCTATTACTTTTCCTGCTGCTGCTGCTGCTGCTCCTCCGGCTACCCTCTAGTTAGTCAGCATAATGAATTACACCGGCACACGCGCGCCAGAGCTCTTCCTGGCAGTGCCTCCATCAAGCTGCAGTCGACAGTCATCAGGCAGAGACAAAAACAACGTGCAGCACGAGCCAAAGTTTCCTAGTGGCTCCTTCCACGATTTGCTGCCTGCCACAAATTTACAATTGACTGTTTCCCTATGCGAGCGGAGCTCTATAGGATGGTGAGAGAAGGAGGGCGGGTTGAGGCGGTGCGAAGTGGGCAACCGTAAAACGCTCGAGTTGTTTTACGCATTATTTACTTAGTTGGGATGCTCCTACGCACTACGGGTGTGTGTTTGTGTGTGTGTGTGTGTGTGTGTGTGTGTGTGTGTGTGTGTGTATTTTCTATGGTGTGGGGCGTGGCAAATGAACTAGCATTACAGTAAGTTGTGGCGAGTAGCCGCACGTTGGGCTACAATTAATTTGAAAGTCTCTGCACGGTGAATGGAATTGGGTTTCAGTTTACATATATATAAGTATATATATATGTGTATGGGTGTGTGTGTGTGTGTGTATGGGTGTGAGATTGGGGTAACTGTGTCTGTTTGTATGTTTACTATACACTACGTTTAGTGGCTGCCGCATGTTTATTTCAAATGAATTTATGAAAATTTGGTCATTTATGCTGGAAATTTGTGTGTGCATCGATTGAATTTATTGGTAATTGGAATTGTGTATATGAATTTTCTCAAAATAAAAGCTATTTCACAGGAAAATATGCATATTGGAATGTATGAAATGAAATTGCAGGCAATTGGTATTTGGTTTTGTCATTTAAAACTCGTTTAATTTCGAAAGAATCCCAGATATCGTATAACCCTGTAGCATAACAGATTGCCGGCTTGCAGAACATAACCCAATGGGACCCACATTTAATATGACAGTATATTTATCTACTCTTTGGAAGAAAGCCCGTTCATGTAATTTGGAAACAATCTTCAATTACGCTCAAAGCGTGGGATATGCTGTCGTGTAAGGAGCTTTAGTTATAGCATTCGTGTTTGCTGACTTTCTTGAGTTTACGAAAGCGCATTAGTGCTTTCAACATTTGTGGCTCGTCAGCTGCTATTTGTTATAAATAATTGACGAGCAAAAATGGTGAATGGACGTTACTTACTTGATATTTATGGCTTAGACTGGATGTCAATTTATGTAGTTGGGGTCAAAGCCAATATGAAATGCTGTTGTGGCTACTCTTTCTAATGCTCAGCGACACGCAGATTATGCAACATTTATTTGAGATTGTATTAAATATTAAACACACACAACACGATAAAACACTTTTGGCTCATTAGGCTAACGCACACACACGCACACACACATAAAAGCACACGCACGCACAAAACGAGCCGCAAACGAGAAAGAGAGAGACAGAGCTATGCAGCTGCTAATGAAGCCAAGAGAAACAAACGTTAACGTTTAGTCAGGACTGAACATATATGCGCCTGATTAATGTGAATGCTGAGGTTTCTTTTACACAGTTTACGCGTTTCCTGTGGCACATTCACGTCGACAGGCGGCTGGCGGCAAAAGTTGTCAGTGTGAACGAGAGCACTGGCAAAGGGAGACTGAGGCTAAGGTCTAAGCGCGCCTGTAAGTATGCAGCAGCAGTGGCAGCGACAAGGCGCACGTATAACAGTATAACAGTTTTATGCTGCTCGTTGAGAGCGTATAGCATGCTCTTCGGAGGCTGCAATCCGAAGGGGTTGGCGGCTTGATTACACCTGCCCAAAGCAGAGAGCAAATTACCATTTGGCCATAACACGCACAATAAAACTTAACACGAATTCGACTTGGCGGCAACTATTTAACACTTTTGGCATATGTGGCCAGAACCAAAATCGCTTTCAGCAAATTGCGAATGCGTACAATTTGCTTTTGATTGAAGCCGAAAAGAACGTTAGATAACAAATATATATATATATATATTGGGCACATTTGAGCCGAAATTATGATTATGATTATTTACTGTTTGCTGTGGGCGTTTGGTTACATAAACATGCCATTAAATTTAAGTGGCTCGGCTCAGCTCACAGATTTCAGATTTCAGTTTGCAAATGCCAGATTCTAGCACACGCAACTTGAAGCCGCTTTTGTTGGGCGAATTCAATTGGAGCTGCTATTCAAATGTCAAACAAATTTCGCAATGCCACTCAGCGCCGATAGCAGACAACAAAGTTGATGCCCGAAATCGCTGTGCGTCTGCTGGGCCGATAGCCAATTCTAAATGGCCATAAGAAAGGCATGCCAGACAAGTTTTGTACGAAACGTAATTGAATTTTTATTGACATTGCAGCCGAGCCGCTGAGCTGTAAGGGATTTCACGGCGCAGGGCGTTGGGAGCTTGCGCAAAAGAAATGGCAGCAAAATGACGCACTCAACGACTGAACACGAAAACAATAAAGCAGTATAAGATGGAACTGTTCGCTGGAAATACTTTAAATTAATTTATATTTCGCAAAATATGGTTCGATGCGCCAACAATGGAATTGCAAACAAGGCTGCAAGCCGGCATGGAATCGAATCGTTTCGATTGCGGAATTCCAATTTCTATTTTTACTTTTAAACGAAACTTTCATCAACCCAGTTCCCTAGAATATGCAGAATCAATAAAGGAACTAAATATGGAAAACCCGATTCGAGAAACGTACTTTAAGGGAGAAAGTTGGGCAGCCCAAGCAACAAAATATGTTAATCATAGGTAGATAGATCAGTTATTTATCCATCATCAAGTAGATAAAATGTATCTCATGGCAGCAAGATCTTCGAAGTTTTGATGTTTATGAAAAACTGTCAATCTTGGGCAGTATATAATTTGATCAGAACTCTACTTTTTACTGCTTAAAATAGCCCTTTATCTTTTATTGGACTTCAATTATTGTTCAGGGGTTTCACTAGCGCAACTCTAATTGATGGACCCACTGGGCAGCTGTTATTATTTGCCATTAAAGCCATTTGCAGTTGCTCGCTATGGTAATTATAAAAAAAGCTCCACTCTCGATTACCCCCTTACGATGCTCTCTGCTGCCGTCTGTCCGCTTGTTGCGTCCATTAAATTATTTTATATGGCACATTAAAATAAACTACACAAGTGCATGAAAAAAAAAACGAGAGAAAGTAAAACGCAGAGTCTGCCAAGTGCCCAGAGCAGAATAACCCCAACACGACCAGGGCAAGCCATTTGTCCCGCTCAGGCCATACATGGCAGCATCTTGCCTCATTGTTGTTATTATTATAGTGTTATTATTGTTATTACTGTGCCGCATGTTGTGCGACTTCTAAGCAATTACTTAATGCGCTTCGCTGCCGCTGGCCCACATTTGCATGCAGGCACTTCAAATTGTGTACGATTCTTGGGCCAGAACTGGACCAGCTGGTGTCTGTTGTGGCCGTGTATAAATCAGATCCAACACTCATACGCCGTGTGTGACCAAATGCGTTTCTGGTTGTGCACCACCTGGTCTTGATTCGGTTGCTGTTGTCAGCGCCATCATATTTAATAATAATTTCAATATTTAAAGACAAAATTGTGATAGGCCTCAAATGAAAATCAGTGCTTTGAATTTTTGTTTTTGTCGATGGAATCCGCATTCAGCGTTATGCTCCGCCGCTCCAAGGCCCGTCGTATCAGGCAGCCGATTTCGTTGATCTCATTGTCTGGAAAGTCGTCGATTGCTGTTCCGCCCATGAGAATGGGTTCTTTAGTCAAGTTCTTAGCTTCTCGCTTCTTAGTGAAGGGCCACCGAGACAATGTGCTCTCCATGCCGTTTTTCAGATAAACATGCTCCAGTTTTCTGCGTATGGCCTGCACTACATGCTGCTTAGCTTGGCAATCAAAGCCAGCAACGCTGCCTTCGATTTTCAGCACATCGTCTATGTTCACATAGGGTGTCGGCACATACACCTCACCTGCGTCCATCGCCTCCAGCCTCAACAGGCGGCGCTCCAACAGGTCCAGCTTCCATAGCGTATCCTCCAAGAACGCCGTGCGATTAGCAGAACGCGCCAAGCACTCAACCACCTTGGTCAGATTGACGCCCTGCACGTGCAATCGACTGATACAATCCTGCAACTTGGGATTGGGCTCTGTACTCCGTGGGCGCACCAAATGGGCTTCGTAGAGCTTGATAGCTGTTAGAAGCAACAATAACTGCATTGCCAGGTCTTTAAAGTGCAGCGTTTTCGCTAGCAATGAAAGTTGAAATTGTATTTAATGTGAAGTCAAGTCCATTGTGTGTGTCCAATGAGAGTAGTTCTGGGAAATGTTTATGACCGAAGCAATTAAAATTGATTTAATGCATTTTTCAAGGGAAGTCGAAATTGTATGCATTGCAACATTCGAATTATTTACAATTTTCTGAGAAGTTAAACGTAAGCATTTACGGTCCATCCTCTTCTAAACTTCAATGTTATGTACCGAAGCTTGTATTTTAATTTTCACCAACCTCAGCTTTTACTCTCACTATGCTTGCATATCGTTAAGACTGTAAGCCACACGTTTTCAAGGGTATTCGATGTTCGGCGTGCCAAATTTAACAGTTTTTTTCTCTTTCTAAAAACTTTTAAATATTTATTTATCAGCTGTAGCCCACAAACTTGGAAGTTAATCGGCTTTGCCTGATTGTATCTTCTTTAATTTTATTAACTAATTGATTTTCCAATTAGGTTTAATGCGGCTTTCACATGAAAATCCTTCAATTAGCCTGCATTTTAAAGCGTTCTTAGCCAACTTGTGTGGCTTAAGCTGCTGTCCAGCTAAAACTGACAGCTCATCTAACATTTTGGTTGCTTTGGCAGACGTAGATTCTATAAATAAGCCTTATAAATGATTACAGCCAAAAATGGGAAGCGCTACCACAACTTGGTCCCTCAGCGAATGTTTAACAGCAAAGCTGCCCAAAATGCTGCCAACTATGCAACAGCAAAAGGATATGTATAAAAAAGAATTTATACAAAATTTGTAGCTAACGCCTTATAAGTACGAATGCCCCTTGACCCGTTCCGCCGTGCGTTCGACTTGACCTCCCACGAGCTGTCCGGGGACCCACTTTTTCTCATTTGGCGTGCTAAATTTATTGTTTGCGGAAGTTGTCTTTTATGGCATCGCCCCAGATGCCACGTCTGCTAGCACGGCCACGCCCACCGCCCACCTATACCATTAGCCATGATACTAGCTACTGACCTTCGGCTGCAAATAATTTCAACTCATTGAGTTTAATGTCCTGGCAGCTGTTTCTTATTATTGGCCCATTGTGGGGCGGGGCCGCCATTTGCCTAGCACATTCGCATTCTGTTTATGAATGCCTGGGCACGTGTTGTATTGGCCAATACTCATTTGATTTATGACCCACTGTACCCACAGTAAATTGTTTTTAAAGCATTCTGCTTCCGTTTATATCGTTTAACTTGCAAATTATGTTTTGATGTGGCTGCTAGTTTGTAAGACGACACTTCGGGCCAGCCTCTCCCAAAGGACGCAATGCGTTTATATGCTTGAAATTTTAGGTAACGCTTCATCTTAATAGCAGTTCTTGCCACCTAATCAGTTGTTCTCAAAATTGCTCAATTGCTGCAGCCCTTATGTTTTGTGAGTAGTTGCGCGCTTTTAATCCACTAGATGATCGCATTTATTTATCTTAATGATGGCGCTTTGTATCTCATGCTCACACAAGACAGCTAGATGCTGCGGTTACTTTCAATATATTTCAATTCACACATCAAAATTAAAAGCCAAAAGAAGTGCAACCACGCACGTGCAACACCAAGTGACACACACACACAATTTGTACTTCACGTACGTTCAGATTCAAAATGCAAGCTCAAACAAATAATTGAACGTAAGTGACAGACTAATTGCTTGAGGGAATACGAAATGGAAATTGTCGCCAAGGCGCATTTGCATTTGCATTTTCATTTAAATTTCATTTTGGTTTTAAATGCTGGAAAAGTTGACTCCAGATAAAGCAACAGATTTTGTTAATAAAAACAAGCATGAGCCCAAAAAAAAAACCAAATAAGACAGACAATAAATATTATTTCGTAACAAGAAACGAGCCAAGAATAATTTGCTTAAAGCAAAAAAAAAACAACTGCACAGAATGCAAATGATAAGAGGAAGAAGCATGTCCCAAAGGATAGAGAGAGAGAGAGGCTTCTGTAAAGGGGCTTATTATTCATGTATGTGTGTATGTATACAGATATGTATGAATGAATGTATGTATGTAAAATTGTATGCATGCATGCATGTATGCATGTATGTACAGCTTGTGTGCATGAATGTAAGTATGTATGTATGTACGAATGTATGAATGTATGTATGCATATATGTATTTACAATTTGTATGCATGTATGCATGTATGTATGTACAATTTGTATGCATGCATGTAAATATGTATGTACGTAGGTATGTATGTACGTATGTATGAATGTATGTATGTATGTTTGTATGCACAGCTTGCATGTATGAATGAATGTATGTATTTATGTATGAATGAATGTACAATTTAAATGCATGCATGCATGTATATATGTACAATTTGTATGCATGC